CCCCCTCCCTCCCTCACTGCAATGGCCTCAGTCTGCCCCCGCCACCCTCAGTCCCCACAATAAAGTTACCAGCCAGACACTGCTCTCCAGGCTGTGTGGCTGCATATCGGAATCAGATTGGTATCAGCCAGTATGGCTCCTTAAAAATAAGCCGTCAGTATCAGCCCCCAAAGCTCTATCGGTGCGCCCCTAGTTAATGTTTAAAGAATATAAGATGTAGAAGGAGACTGTCAAGTACTACATCTGTTTGTTTAAATGTCCATTGCGTTTGTCCTTGAATTTTCATCCTATCTTTTTGGCAGGTATTGAATACTGATGTTTACTGTGTTATGCTTTATTTTTGTTTGGTTTTTACACCAGCATCAGTGATGTCAACAGGAGCGTTTCCAGAAGTGCTGGGAATATTTATCAGCTGAAATGGGCTGTGTGCCTAAACTAGAGCTCCACATGCATGAATTTTGGGGACTTTTGTTGGTGGCTCTGATCTCTTCAGTTTTGGGCTATATTTGTTAATGAGCAGCTGCAGTAAAACATAAGGGGAAGTACCTGACATGCAGTCTCTTATTCCATCACAGTGGGATAATGAAATTATATAGGGCAGTACGGGCTGCTATAATGGGAGACAATGAACACCCTGAAAACTGTGTCCCGAGTTGCTTAAACTTGTCCAGAGCAGCTTAGAGCTAACAATTGCAGGCATATGGAAGAGTTGATCCCTAGAATGGAGAGTAGAGAGCGTCTGGGTCCTGTGCCCATTATTGTCATTCAGGTGCTGTGGAGGTGGAATTCTTCTGAATCAAATGCAAAGGTACAACAAGAGCCAGACTAGTGGGACTGGATGAAATAGATTGGGATGATGGTCCTGGGTAGTAAAGGAGAAGACTGAAACTTGAGGCTGGGGCTGGGGACTGGATTGACAGAGCAAGAACTGTGGGAATGGGAGTCAGCATGTTTCATAGTTTCATAGTTTCTAGGGTCGGAAGGGACCTGAGCAGATCATCTAGTCCAACCCCCTGCCATGGCAGGAAGAGCACTGGGGTCAAACGACCCCAGTAAGGTGATCATCCAACCTCCTCTTAAAAACCCCCAGGGTGGGAGCCTGCACCACCTCACTTGGAAGCTGGTTCCAGACCCTAGCCGCCCTGATCGTGAAGTAGCGCCTCCTGATGTCCAACTTAAACCTTCCCTCTGCCAGCTTGTGACCATTGTTCCTGGTCACTCCTTGCGGCGCTCGGGGGAACAGGGACTCCCCCAGCGCCTGCTGATCCCCCCTAACCAGTTTATAACAGGCCACAAGATCCCCCCTCAGCCTTCTCT